CACAATAGGCTCAAATGTGCCTAAAACGAAAGATAGAGTGCACAGTCGGATTTCTGCACAGCGACTACAAACGTTCATAGCGTTCTGGTCACAGCTTCAAAGAACCTGATTCAAATTGGATCTGAAGCGTCTTAACGTCGCCTACAACAGGGTATTTATATCGCACGATTTCACCAAGTATTGACGACACAGCGTCGGTTTGAACGAACGGCACTATGGCAGCCACTATAGTCTTAGAACACAAGATAGGAATTGTTACTAGTTGGGAATGACTCCCAGCTCCTACAAACCCCAAGAGCCGAGGTACAGTGATGTGGAACAGTGCCACACTGTCCCCAACCAAGAAGGGTCTCGAAACTACCCTCCGCAATGGCCTACACCAAGAGAAATGTTACACTACACATTGTAATGTAACTATTATCAATATCTTGAAGTGTACCCTTTTGGCGAGCTTCGGAATCACTTGAAGCTTGAAACCAAGGCTCGGGTTCTTCATCACAAACTCATCCTTGAGTTCTTGATGGGTCTGCTGCACACACCTGCGACACGCCGAACGTTCGACACAGGGCAAAATAGAAACCGCGCGAGACACACAAACGGCGAAATAGAAACCGCGCGGGACACACAAAATGACCGCGTAATACGCGACTAGCGATAACTCGCTATTGACTCGACACACACACACACAGTCGACATGACGACCCATCATTCACACACTATTATAAGCATGAAATATATATTATCCCATGGCCTCATACCATTCCATGCACACACGCATGCACGCACACGGACAACAAGCCGAGTGCAAACCGTAGGGTTGCACCAACACAACCCCCGCCACGGGTCACTTGGCACCATTGCCACCGCATTACAGTCGATGCCCTTGGAATTTTCTGCCTTGTAAATCCGCGCATGCCTCATAAAATCGCAGATCGCCGCCCTCGCCACTTTCTTCCTCTGGAATCTTTCGTTCCTGTACACCGCATCCACCCTGGCCAGCCAAATGCGCCGCATTGTTACCGCTGTCAGCGTTGTCCTTGGAAAGCCCGACTTCGTGGCTCCCTCCTGGAACAGCATCTCTCCCAATGACCGCACTTGCATGCCTAGATCCGTCATCTAGAGCGAGCTGAGCAGCGTGCCGATGACCGGTTGAATCACCGGGCAGAGCAGCATGCAGTGGTCTAGGGTTTCAGGGGCACCGCAGTGTGGGCAGACCCCCCTGGGGCTCAGGAACACCAGCCTCCCTCCGACCTGGAGGTTCTTACTGTGCATCCTGAGCACCACGTCTCTTGCCCGATATGGGACGACCAGAGAGTCGCGCCTTTGCAACACCGCTTTCCAGTCTATTTTCCTCCCCCAGTCCTCTTCCCACTCGCCCCTTCTTCCTGACTCCGTCGTCGGGCCCGTGAGTAGCCTGCGTATCACTCTGGGCGCCGCAGGCCTCATGTCCTCCTCAACCAGTCGTGTCTGACACAGCTTCGCTCGCGGGTCTCCCATCACGCCGAGGACAGTTCTGCCCTTGACCGCCATCGGCATCACGTCCTTGACCGAGAATTTCACCGCGATGGGCCTCAACGAGGCTACTAGGTTTGTGTCGTCTGCACACCTCAGATCATCCGTCGCCACTCTTCTGTCGCTGCTGACACCACGCACCGTCCAGTACATGTTCGTCCGTGTGCGCCGAAAAACCGTGCGAACCACCTTTGCAGCCGCCACGACCGTTGTCGCCGTTCTTGGCGCCGCAAGTAGCGTTTTCCACTCCTTTGGTGCCGCCTCGTATGCCTTTGTTGCCCATCTGGCTGACGCCACACTCCCAAACTCCTCCCTCAGTTTTTTAATACCCTTTATCCCTCTCCCTCCGTCTTCCTTGGTCTCAAGCAGGTCCCCGATCTTGGTTGTTAGGATGGCTGCCGTCCCCTGCAGGTTACCATACGAGCTGTTTCCCCGGAACATGATGCGGCGGTTGAAACACAGGAGCTCCTGCTCCACCTCCCATTCATTTGTCGGTGCTGGAAGGTCGGCGAACGGCGAGTCCCAGAAAACCTCCACCACCGCCTTCCACCTCTGACTTCCCTTCACCCAATGTTTGCCAGCCGACTTATGTGCGTACAGAGTTCCCACGCCCTGTGGCAGCGCAGCCGCCTTCTCTGCAAGCCACTTCTTCGTGACGTTTTTCTCAATCAGCAGCTTCCCCACCGTTCGGATCGCCAGGCTGTCCAGACGCGCCTTCGGATCGACCAGCCCCATGCCTCCTTCCTTTTTTCGGCAGCCGCGCCAGGTCGCCGCTCCAGAGGACAAACAACTTTTTTGCCGTGGCCTGACCTTTGGAAACGTAATTGTCGCAAGTCTTTTTTATTTTGGCCCACAGCTCCTCCGGCGGCGGATATATCTGCGCCTGGAACAGGAAGATCGGCATGATGTAGCTGTTTATGACCGTGACCCTCGCTGCTGTAAGCAGATGCTGATTTTCCCACTTGACTAACTCATTTTTCCCTCGTTCCCACGCCCTCTCCCAGGACGGTGCCACCTCTCCATTCGGCGTGACCCAGACCCCGAGCAGGCGTTCTGGCTCCCCCTCCGCTGCCCACTTGAAACTGACTCCTGGAAGTGACGTTTTCCCCCTGTTCCGCCCGAGCGGCATGACGATTGACTTCTCGCGGTTTGTGTGCAGGCCCGACACCTCACCGAACCACTCAAGCGCCTCCGCCACCGAGTGGAGTTGCTCTGCACCGTGGAGGATCAGCGACGTATCGTTCGTATAGCCCACGTACGCCACCTCTTCTCCCTCATCCGCCTTTACCCCCAGTCCTCTCTTCCTGATCTCCGAGCATAGCGGCTCCAGCGCACAGAGGAAAAGGTAAGGTGCTAGCGGGCACCCTTGCCGTACCCCCCTTCGCATGTCTACCTTCTCTCCAATCCATCCGTTCACTGCTATCTTCGTTCCTGACCCTCGATGTAGCCCCTCCGTCCACCGTATAAACTCGGTACCCCCAGCTTCTTCAACGTTTCGAAGAGGAATGAGCGCGACACCGTGTCGTATGCCTTCTGGAAGTCGACCATCAGGAGATACCAATCCTCGCCATCGTTATCCGCTGCCTCAATCGCATCCGCTACAACCGCGGCTGCGTCCGCCAGGCTCCGTCCTGGGATGAAGCCGTGCTGCTTCGCCGAAATTATCTGGTGAAGTACCTTTTTAACTCTGTTCGCCATGACCTTCGCCAGCACTTTGTACACCGTGTTCAGTAGTTTGATAGGACGGTAGTTCGTCAGCTGATCCTTCTCCCCTTTTTGGTGTAGCAGAACGATAACCGCCGTCGTGACCGACTCCGGCAGCCTTCCTGTTTTTTCAAAATCACGGACAAAATCCATGAAGACACCCCCCAGCAGGTCCCAGTGTGTCACGAACAGCTCTGTCGGGAGACCGTCCTGCTCTGGCGATTTCCCCCTTGGCAACCCAGCCAGAGCCAATTTCACCTCCGGCTCCGACCACGGGGCTTTGAGCCTTCTCACCGCCTCCTCCGGTAATGTTCCGTCCACCGTGAACGGCCTCCTCAGCTCTGCCGCGTCGCCGGCTTCGCTGAAAGCTTCAGCAAAATGTGCCGACGCCGCCTTGAGCACCTCCTTCGAACCTTTGAAACGCTGCCCTTTGTAAGCCACCTCGCTGATGATTGTTCGCTCCTTGGCCGACAAGTAAGGTGACGGAACCTCCCCTTGTAGCTCAGCTTTGAGACCCGCGAAGACCTCCAGTCTCTCCCTGTCGTTTTCACGGTAGGACTCCAACTGCTCCTCCTTGGCTAGCAGTGCTCTCTGAATAGCTTCATCCGTTGGCCCTCCCATCACCACATGTCATAACTTTTCCACTTCTTCAGTGAGATGCCGTTGCGTCATCACCACCCGTTTTCGCTCCTCTCTCTCGTGCGCTCTCAGCCCCCCCATGAGCCGAGAGATCACCTGCTCCAAAGGGTGACCACCATCCTTGACTGGTGTCTTAGTCACCTTCTCAATCACTCTCTGCACCCCTTTTTTATCCTTCCGTGTTGCCTGAAACCTCCAGAGGCCCAGGCCGTAAACCTGTGACAAGACGATGCGCAGGGACAGGCGGATCGCAAACCAGTGATCCGTCAGCTTCTTTGGCACCTCCGCGTGGCTTGCCTCCAGCAGATTACCAAGCAACGACGTCGAAATCAGGCTCTGTCAATGCGGGACTTTGCCTTTGTCGCCTTCACCCGGAACGTGTATTCCTTCTCCGTGGGGTGCAGCGCTCTGAAAGCATCGCGGAGATCATGTGACGGCCATAAGCTGATGAACCTCTGATTCTCCTTCCCAGACCCTATTCCTGACGTCTTGTCCAGATCCGGGTCGGCGATAATATTCAGATCCCCCACCACCACCAGGTGCGCTGCTGACAGCTGCGCCTGTACGAATGGGGTCAGATGCTCGGTGTGAAACTTCGCCCTGTTACACGCCTGTGCCGGGAGGTACGCCGCTATCAGCCTGAAAGCCACGTCCCCCCCTTCCACCGTCACCCCTAGCAGCCTCCCAGATGAGTCCGCCAAGACATCTAAGAAACTTATGTGTTTTGCAAAGGCAAGGATTGCCACCCCCCCAGCCGCTTGACTGGGGTTTGCAGCAGCCCACGCTTTTGGTCTCAGCTCATTCCAAAAATTATGATCTTCCTTGATCTGTGTGTCTGACAAAACAACTATGTCCGCTGCCTTGCGCAGCCACTGCCGATGCTTGCTTCCTTTTCCATTGCTTCCGAGGCCGTTCACATTGACCCCGCAGATGGTAAGGCTGGTTGTGTTACCCATTAATCCACTCTTCTGAGAGCCCCACGCATCCACGGGCTTTATTACACAAGGTGCTACACATGGCACATCCAGCTGAGACTAACTTCTCCCTGCTCCGAAAACTTCTGACCCCCACCGATGTCCAGTGCAGGTCCATGCTGCATCGTGGCGGCCTTACTTCCCATAATCCTTCCGGACATCCGCCAGGTTCTACTTTCCCCTGCTCTGCTGGGTAGCAGCACCCGCCTTGAGCAGGCCGGTACAGTGGCGCTGGGACTGAACATGCTCCACCGCCTGTTCGAAGTTGTTCCCATGAGCCTTCCCGCACTCCTCTTGCACGCAAATCCATTCCTCCCGGACCCCTCCCACCGAGGATAGGGAAATTGCCGGGTCTGCGATGATGATCTTCGCCGCCGCTGACAGCTTCAGAGAAGCAGCTGCTTGGGGGGGAGGCGACACAGAAGTCAACTTGGGGGTCCGCTGCTGCGACCACCTGGAAAACAAGGTAAGCGCGTAGATCATTGCCGTTGATCTCATGAGCACGCAGCAGCGACAAACCCCAGTTGCCAATGTTATTCTGCCTCTCCTTATTAAACTCATCATGAAAGCAGGTCATTTGCATGCCATTGCAAAACTCGCAGGTGAGAGCAGGAAAAGACACGAGGAGATCAATGCCATGAATCTTGTCGGTGACGCGGTGCCACCACTTATACTTATCCCCCGGGTGCCTGTAGACCAGGCCCTTAATCTTATCAGTGTCTGACCCCGAGACAGGATCCAGGACCCTATGAAACGACAAGCCGTCACGGAAAGCCGTACGACCCCGCTTCATCAGCATCGCAGTCATCAGATTCTTCCGGATCATTTCCGGAGAGATCACTGCCGGGACGCCCTTCAGCAGCACCTCAATCACCTCTGGATGCAGCGTGCGCTCCCTCAGGTAACCAGCGTTCTCCGGGTGCTGCCAGCCAAGTGTAAGCTTCTTGTCATTCATCGTATAGTGCTCCACTTCCCGGCTCCAGACAAAACTCGCATCAGCCTCCTGCTGAAAGATCACCTGCATGCTTCTTGGATAGGTAAGTAGCCGATAGCTGCTGGAAACCAGTCGTGGTCCTGACGTTCTCTGACAGGTGCTTTCCCCACACCAGCAGGAGATGCCGGACCGTATTGATGGTGCGGGGAACTTCCTTGTTCCAGGCAAACGGAATCAGCAGGGTAATGGCAAATCCCGCCTGCGCAGCGATTTCGTTGAGCACCTCCGGGTATTGACACTCGTCTGGATCGTCACTGAGGTCACCGTCATCGTTGTCCTTGTCCTCCGCTTTCGCTTTGCCTTTTTCAAGCACCTCAGGCATCGACGACGAGCCTCCAGCAGCGGTCGGCTTATCCACGTCATTTCCTTTCCCACCCGCCGGCAGATCATCCAGCTTGAGGGCCGACGTACGTTCCGCCAGTTTGTTAACCATCTCCGCGCCGAAAGAGCCGGCCACGCCGTTGAAAAGCGTCTTAGGAGTCACCGGATCCAGACACGCATCCGACGGCTTCTTCCCATGCACACCAGCAGCACCTGGAGCAAGCGGAGTCGGCACGTCGCCAGCGGGAGCCATGGGGTGATGATGAAAGAATGTAGGAAGGTATGCAAGCGTAGAACTTGAAAATAAACTGAGCCCCAGAAGCTCCTGTGGTGACTTGTGTCTTTCCGTCTTCTTACGCCTGTATTTGTAGATCATGATAGCCTTGAATGCTTCAGCAGGACGATAGTTCTTGGGAATACAAACGTCATTGGCCTTGGGAACACAACAAGCCCTAAAGTCCTCATTGTCAGGATAAGCCTTAAAAGTGCCTGACAATAAGATCGTTTGTACAGTGTCCTCTGTATGAACATAAAAAGTGTACGCACTGAATCCTAAAGTCATAAGGAGTACAAATCTAGGCTTTAAATTCTCAACTGATAAGAAATTGTAGGACATTGGCTCGATCAAACTCCCTGGAAACCGCCATGGCGGCCTTGGGCTTGTCATCTTATCGCTAACCTTGGTCATATTCATTCACCCCCAGGCTCCGCAGCAACCGGCCGCAGAGAAGAACGAGGAGGGAACTGCGGGACGGACGGGGAAGCCAGGGGGTGACGCGGGGCAAGGCCGCCGAGTCGAGGCTGCCGTGTCTTCCACGGGAGTGACCTCCACGCCCACACCCCCTGCAGCCCCGGGGTTCGACACCACCAGCTCCAGCAGCCCCAGCACCCTCACCCTCCGCAACTGCACCTCCCGCACCTCCAGGCACAACAGGGACTGGACGCTGCGGGGGGGACGACTGCGGAGTGACGTGCGACACACCTGACGGGTCTGTCACACCATTAATAAGGCATGGATAGCGATAGGAAGTTATATAAGTAGCCATATGAACTTGTGTGACAGAAGTAGGTAGTGTAGGAAAGGACAAGCACAATTCATAGGGAGGACAAGAGCCGAGACACCCGCCAACGCAAAAAGCGATGCCGAGGCAAGCGGGAACACTATAGACAGGAGTAACGGGCAGGGGGCAACGGTAAATGTGGCCCTACTTAGGAAGAACGCAGGCATGGAGTGCCTGCTTGCTTGTTTGTTTTCTCATCATTAGCTAATGACGTCCTGGGAACTGAAGAACCCGTAGGTGAGTGGGTCGTAGAACACCCAGCCGGCGGTGTCCAAAGGGAAGCCAAGAAAGACGCAGGCACGAGTGGATGATCCCCCGACCCTGACAGAACGTCTCTAGGCGAGTGGAAGAAAACTCACCACCACGGTCCGAGTGCAGGCGGAGCTCACAAAGGGCCTGGCCTGGGCGCCACCCCTCACTATTAGCCACGGCTTGAGGACAGTGGGCACGTCGGCCTTCCGTCGCAAGGGGAAAACCGTGGTGTAGCGGGAGTAGTCGTCCACCACAATCAGGAAGTAGCGCTCCTGACGTGGGCCAAGGACCGGGGAGGGGCCCCAGACGTCCAAGTGCAGGGTCTGGAAGGCAGCCGTGGTTGGGGGGAACGAGGAGGATAGAGGGGCAGCGCGTTGCCGACCCTCAACGCAAGGAGTGCACCACGGCGCAGGAGCGCGAGGAAGCGGGGCAAGCGACTGTGGGAGACCTGAGACCAGACGGTGACGTACCATCCTACAGAGACGTGGGAACAACGGGTGACCTAGACGGTGGTGCTAGAGGACCGACGGGTGGGTGAGTGACCAACAGTCGCACGACACAGCAGCTACCTGACCTGACCTGACCCAGTGTGGTGGGACCCAGTGTGTAGTGAGTACAGACTAGAGCCTGGCTCCCTGTGGAAAGTGGCCAGAGGCGTCCCAGTGGCACCGATTGTGCAGGAGGCAACAGGCTCGTCCAGTGGGAAAGTAGTGACTACGCCTAGGTCGTGGAGGTGACTGACACCCACCAGGTTCCTGGAGAACCTGGGGGTGTAGTAACCTATGAGAAACCCAGAGGGAGCCGCCGGACACTGGAGAGTGGTGGTGCTGTGGGCAACTACAAGTCCCACGGAGGGGTCAGCCAAGGCGACAGTGAGTGGAGTGCGCAGTGGTGTGAGGTCAGTGCAGTCACGAAAGAAGCAGCTGGACGCTCCAGATTCTAGGGTGAAGGAAAGCTGTGCAGTCTGTGAGGTCGCACCCGAGTCCGCGACAAAGGCTGGTGCGAGACTAGTGGTACCTGCAGCTCCTACACGAAGACGCTCAAAGGCGGCTGGGTTGAAGACAACACACGCACCAAGACTTGAAACACAGGTCTCTACTCGTGCAGCCGGGAAAGGTCCTAGACCAGGTAGGTGAGACTCAACTGGTGCAGCAGTGCGCTGGCGAAGACGTGAGGGCCAGTGCGGTGTAATAGCATGAGGACCAAAACGCTCACAGTGGAGGTCGTCGAGGCGACGGTAGCAGTGGGACGCAGAGTGGTCAGGACTCCAGCAGGTAGTGCCAGCACTTGGGCCTGTCAGGGCCTGGTACCCGCAGGGGCCGACGTCTTGCCCACTGCTAGCTGAGCCACTGCTGGGGGCGCCACACTTCGGACCTGAAGGTCCCTACTGCCGGGAGTGCTGCTGCTAGCCCTGCTGCTGTAGAACCCTAGTACACGCCATGTGAGGAGCTAGAAACGGGGGGGTGCTTACAAGTGGGCCTAAGCTGCTGCTGGTACTGCTGGCGGCAGCCTAAGCTGCTGCTGGTTCTGCTGGAGGGCAGCCTAAGGTGCTACTGGTTCTGCTGGTGGCAGCCTATGCTGCTGCTGGTTTTATTAGGGGCAGCCTAAGCTGCTGCTGGTTCTGCTGGTGGCAGCCTAAGCTGCTGCTGGTTTTACTGGGGGCAGACTAAGTTGCTACTGGTTCTGCTGGTGGCAGCCTATGCTGCTGCTGGTTCTGCTGGTGACAGCCTTTTCTGCTACTGGGTTTACAGGGGGCAGCCTAAGGTGCTGTTGGTTCTACAGGTGGCAGCCTAAGCTGCTGCTGGTTCTGCTGGTGGCAGCCTATGCTGCTGCTGGTTTTACAGGGGTCAGCCTAAGCTGCTGCTGGTTCTGCTGGTGGCAGCCTAAGCTGCTGCTGGTTTTGCTAGGGGCAGACTAAGCTGCTACTGGTTTGCTTCCACGCGTACCGCGCAAAGCATAGTATGTGTTCCTCATTGTCCAGATATACTTTTTACAGTCAGCGCTGGCAGACAGGCAGTCCTTCAATGTATTCGGCCTTGCATGAATGGCCGAATTCATTGACGACTCGAGGTTTCGGGCATCGAGCCATCAATTTTGTGGCGACGCGGAGGTTTCTTGCTGACCCCGTCTTCTCCAACCATCTTTAGCTTCCCCCTCCCCTAGGCCAGGGTCCTGGATGTGGTGCGGTTATTTTTCATTTCGTTCAATCATTCTCTCAGTATCTCTCGCTCCTCGTCTCTTCTTTCTCGCCGCCATGGAAGGTCTGCATGTCGACGATGCTTCTCCACATGATGGCTCAGATGAGCCACCGTTACCGCCGAAACCCACGGAGCCTACCCTACTGGAGAAAGCTTCTGATGCCCGACGCTCTGGGCTCGATTTTCTTAAAACTAGCGCTGCTCCAGTAACACCTGATCCTCCTAGGTCCACCGTCCATGACTCTGCAGCTAGAGAAACCTCCACTCCGACTGAGTCTCCCCGTCCCGCCGCCTTCACTCTACCCCCGGCTGTTGCTTCTTGCAGTAAAGATCCCCCACCGGTCGCGCCAAGTCCGACACCAAGCACAGTGCGGGTGTCTGTTGGTCCTCCGTCAGCTTCAACCTGCCCAAAGCGCGCGCGATTTGGGAAGTGGGTGCAGAGTACCCTGCTTATCGGAGGTCGTCGTCTTCCACCGCCTGACAACCCGGCTGATCCACCACCCGATGTCGTTGAGATCCAGGAGTCAACTTGTCAAACTATATTTCTATATAGTTGATTTTAGTTTTAGTCTAGGTGTTGTACATTCTGTTTCTTGTGTTAGAACTATTGCTAGGGTTTGCTATAACTTGTTTGTACCTTCACCCGTCTCGACATGGTATAGGGCTATACCGTCCTATGGGCCCACCGCCCCGTGCCTCGAAATAGTCCGTAGCGTCCTAAGTGCGTCACCCGTTTTGCCCCGCTCGCGTCACCCGTTTTGCCCCGTGCGTCACCCATTTTCAGCCCCGCGCGTCACCCGTCTTCAGCCCCTCGCGTCACCCGTTTTCAGCCCCGCGCCTCACTCGTTCTGCCACGCGCGTTGTTCGCCAGCTCGCTAGCGCGCAGCACGCGGTAGACGCACGAGCACATGCCGTAGCCGCCCGCACAGCCGCTCGCGCAGCCGCACGAGCAGCCGCGCGTGAAGGCCCACACAGCAGCACGCGCAGCTGTACGCTCGAACCCACGCGCAGCAGCCTGCGCGTCGACCCACGAGCAACCCGCCCTGCACCCCAGCCGTGTTATCCCGCAGTCCCACCGTCAGCCGCCGCCCCACCCATTCCCGCTGCCTTAGCCCGCCGTCCCAGCCGTCAGCCACCGCCCCACCCATTCCCGTTCCCTCAACCCTAGCGCTTGCATTGCAGCAGCAGCGCGTGCATTGCTGCAGCAGCACGGCTAGGCAGCAGCGCGTGCTACTGCAGCAGCACGGCTAGTCAGCAGCTAGCCGCCAGCAGCTCGCCGCCAGTAGCAGCTAACCGCCAGCAGCTAACCGCCAGAGACTAGCCGCCATCAGCAGCTAGCCGCCAGCAGCAGCTAGCCGCCAGCAGCTAACCGCCAGCTAGCCACTCCCACCCGCCCACAGCCCCTTTTCAGCCGCTCACAGCCCCTTCCAACCGCTCACAGCCCCTTCCAACCGCTCACAGCCCCTTCCAACCACTCACAGCCCCTTCCAACCGCTCACAGCCCCTTCCATCCGCTCACAGCCCCTTCCACCCGCTCACAGCCCCTCATCACGCGCGCACACCACCCACGACCACCCGACCTACGTTGGTTCGACACTCGCGTCATTCATACTCACAGTGTTTCGCACCGTCGCGGCTGGAGGCCGCTCCACTTAGCTGTTAAGGCTAGTCCTGACGTTCGTTGTTAGCTAGGTCTCTCCTCGCTCAGCCAACCCCTCGAACGACTCTCTGGCTCCTCGATC